TAGAGTAATAAACATTAGATTGTACTTTATATCAACTTGAGTAGTCTCAAAAAAATATTTTATGCTACCATTCCTAAAAATATGCATTTTATCAGTTTATCATAGGATTGAATGGTAGAACATGTCTATTGTTCCTTATCAAAAGATCTGATTGCCTTTCATGTTATGCTTTAAACAAGCAACCTTTCAAAAACATTCAGTGCACCTTAAGAATTCACGTTTTGTTTGGTTGTCGCACCAATCGTATTCAGTTCAATACTTCTTTCTGTCTTGTTTCATCTTATCTTGAATATGCACGGTTTTGCTGAAACAGAATTCAATTCTTGCATTTGCAAACTTTTGTTTCCCATTGGTGAGCTTCATGGCTAATCATTAATTGTCCGATTACCGCTGGAGGGTGTACCAGCAATGATATCTCAAACTAAGCGATCTTACAGATCAAGACTGACGTGCTGACGGAATACATGAAACAATACTGAAACAATACAATACTGTTACTTTTCCTTGTATTTGGTGTCGCCACAAGGCGAATATTAGTCACTATCCTTAGCCAATATTAGCCTGTAAACAATGATTTCATATATATTATCCAACAATCTTCATATTTATATTCGTCCTTCATCTAAAAGTTTTCTCCTTATCATCGGCAATATTGTTATGTAACGCTGTCTTCATGTTTCTACAAACAAGCCTTCAGTAATTTATTCTTCAATAAGTAACTTTCCTGAGAACATATTTCACGAGATTCTCCTTGAAAAGTTCTAAATATTCTGCTAAAATAGAAGATCTCAGCTAGAAACAATATCGTTAACGAGCAAAATGTGCTGATTAATGCTTGGATTAGACAGTATTGGTTGAAAGGTGCAACTTTGAATGCCTTTAACATATGGGTGTAATACTTCTTCGTTCTCATGTTTAGGGAAACATGTATTTCTCGAGGGGTCCTGGAACGTTGAAGCTCACTCCGAAGTTATTTGCTGAGAATCGAAACCGTCTGGTGAATTCTCTAAGGACTAAATGCAAAAAAGGCACCGCAGTGCTTCTACAAGGTGGCTCACATCAAGAAAGATATAATATTGACTCAACTGATTACGTTTTTCGTCAGGTTATCATTTCGAACTCAATCGCATCTTCTTGCTTGCAAAAGAACTGTGGATATTCATCCAAGATTTCACAACAAATTACCAGCATTCTATCTAACTCAGGAAGCGGTTATATTTCCTATTTGTAAGAAAGATTCAGTCACAATTTGTTGATTAGTCGATTTGTGTTATTTGATCTTATGGATCACTGAGTCGTTCTACAGATATTGATGATGGATTGATCAGTGTGTACAGTGTCCCAAGAAAATGAACACACACTTTAAATAACTGTAAACTAGGTGTTTATTATAATTTGTTTAATTTCTAACAACATTCAATATGTATCAGCATTTTAGAATGAATTTCTTTTTTTCAAAGTTTAGTCTGGCTGTCATCATTCGGTTCAATGGGGTGAATCTGCAACGGAAAAACAAACAATTGAGTTATCAGCTGCTAAAAGGTGCATACATTTTTTTGGAATGCCCCGTACAACTGAGCCGATTCTACATTTTAAATAAATGCTTGCTTGAATAAGACAAAACACTAAACAAACGATGTTAAGGAGTCGTATTTCTTTTGGGCGTTTGGCGTGCATGAGCCAGACTTCTATGGTGCCATTGATATAGACACAGGACGTTCGATTTTATTCGCTCCGAAACTCGATCCTGATTACGAAATATGGCACGGAAGGTAATCATATCTAAGTGATACGAACAGTCAAACAGTAAACAACTTATCACCACCACATTCCACAACAAAAATGAGTAAATTGAAAAACAAAACTCTTCACTCAAATAACAAGCAAAACTGAACGTTCTTGCTATTACCTGCCCTATTCATATACTAGTTCGTAAGTTGTACATTTTTTCTAGAATTGAATCAGCTGAGTGGTTCCGCACTAAATACGAAGTGGACGAAGTACATATTAGTGATGAGAATACTGTAGCTGAGACTCTCAAGAAAATGGGATTTCATCATCTTCTACTATTGGTAAGTTAATGTATGCATGCAAAAGTCAATCTTATTCATCACAGCATAAGAATAATTCGAAACGATGACAATGGCATTCAAGCGACTAAACTACATCGACACATTGTTAATCGGATGCATTTATCATTGTATTTAAGTTATTTTCCAAAGTCATAAGAATAAATTTCTCAACCACATAATGTCGATATTTAATATCTCAGTAACAGTCAATTCTCCTTGCAGAGAGCCGAAAATACAGACAGTGGTAATGTTTTGCCACCGGCCAGATTCAAAGGATCCAATTTGTACGTGAAAATGCACTATCAATTTGTATAGCAGTAACCAGCTTCTTGAATCCATCAATTCATATTATCCCTAACAGTATGCAGCATGCTCTTCATTTTCACGTCAACTTTCAGCTTCACTCTCGACACAGAAACGTTGTATCCAATCATCACTAATTTACGTGTTTTTAAGACGGACAGTGAGCTTGAAGTGATGCGATATGCTTGTAAGGTAGCCGTTTTCCATTAATTACATATGAAATTTCATATCAAGATTGTTTTTTTTNTTTTTTTTCTTCAGCTCAGGAAGTGCAAAAACGCTCGAGTTCAAACAGATTGGAAAGGTGTTACTTCCAATTACCTAGTGAATCTTCATAAAACAATTTCAGGTTTCTGCAGACGCACATCGAGCAGCAATGTCGGTTGCGAAACCGGGCATGTATCAGTATCAAATGGAAAGGTCAACCTATCTATTTGTCTATCCACTGCTACTTTCTATCACTTTCCCAAAGCATAGCTCGGCGATAAAGGAGTGTATCAATAATTCATAAAATTCAGGCTTCATTAACTTTTCTTCTTGTTTCAGTGTTATACTGAACTCATGTTACTTCTACGGTGGATGTCGACACATGTCATATACGCCAATATTAGCATCGTATGTTGTTGATTATTACGCTCTCAAAGAGCGCTACATGAGCTATGCTTAAAGTACTTTTGATCTAGCTTAGATTACTTTCAAGAAATGTCACCCTTACAAGAAACCAACAAACTCTCATAGTCAGTAGTTGGTTCTGAATGACTGATTACAAATATATGGAATTTGACTTATTAATCAGAAAATGAAATTCAGTGGTGCGGATTGCGCGATACTTGACTACGGTCACGCGAATGCACCGAATTATCACAAAATGAACGATGGTGATATGTGTCTATTCGATTGTGGATGCGAATACAATTGTTACGGTTCATTTTTATAATATCTGTTTCAAAAAGGATTTCGCAAATGACAGATATTTTCTCTCAATTTAACGCAGTGTTCATTTCCAGCATCTGATATCACAACATCGTTTCCGGTTAATGGAAAATTCACGGAAAAGCAAAAAGGAATATACAATGCGGTACTTCATGCAAATCATGCAGTTTTTGAAAATGCTAAACCAGGTTGGAAACACATTTTTGAATGGCAAAACACCGACCCTTCAGTTTTTTGGTCTTCTGAGGGCATATTTTAGTAAATACTAAATCGCACACAATATTAAATTACGAAATGGATAAGCGTATCACAATAGGAACAAAGCGATTATAAAAAAGGGAAGACTGTTAGCAAGCGATCTTGAAAACATTCGGAAATGTATTGTATCAGTTCATTTGAAAAAATTCACAAGTATCAAATCATAAAAGCGAGGAAGCACTAGGAAGCAATTCTATGCTTATAAACTAAGTAGGTGTATGCTTTCAAAAATGGTACTGTTACAGATTTCTGTTTCAAACATCGGCCGTGGTGACCTTAACGAAAAACAGTTAGAATGATTATGTAGCAAAAGACTGCTATTTTTCAGGTGTTCGGTGGACTGATATGCATTTATTGGCCGAGAAGACAATGCTATCAGATCTGAAAAATATTGGCTTATTAAAAGGTGACGTTGATGAAATGGTGAAAGCGAGGATAGGCGCTGTATTCATGCCGCATGGATTGGGTCATTTTATCGGATTGGATGATCACGACGTTGGAGGATATCTTGGAGTCAGTTTAAATTTGTGTATTGGTGATGAGTTTGCTCATGCTATTCTTTGGAATGATTTCATATTTAGTAACGAACATCTTCATTACATCAATTAAAACCTGAAACAGATGGAACAGTATGAATGATAGTTTACTGCATGATCTCGATATGTGTCAAACGGTGACTCAGATCATTCAATGGGTTAACGTGATTAGTGCTGCCATTACAATTTATCGTCAGTCAAATACACCCACTTCAAATTTCAGGATGCGACTCCCCGTTCAACCGAACCTGGATTGAAATGTTTGAGAACGACGCGTACGCTTCAAGAACGAATTGTGATCAGTATAGAACCTGGGTGTTACTTCATTGATACGGTCAGTTTCGGTGTTCAACTCAGAAATGAGTCAACGTTCCTTTGTCAGTAAATTTAGTTTTTTTTTTCAATATTATAGGTAACAGTTATTGTATTTATCAGTGATGAGTTTTGATATTACTTCTACCTTCAATTGTTGATCTAGTTCATGGAAACCGTTC